GTAACGGCCCCGACCACTGCCGCTCGACCTGAATATATATATATATAGACACGCCGCTGGCACTAGAATATATTTGACGATATATATATAACTCCTACGAAACAGTTTGTCACAGCCCCTCGTTTGTTGTCCTCTTCTCTCTCTCTGCCTACTGTTTACCGGGCAGTTCTGTTTGTGTCACAAACAGAACTGCCCGGTAAACAGTAGGCAGAGAGGGAGAAGAGAACAACAAACAAAGGGCTGTGAGTGACAAATTGTTTCGTCGGAGTTTCACTGACTCATCAAGAGACTGAACCCTCAACAATCTGCTGAATCCCCTAAGTGACTGATTACACTGTAAGTGATAATCCACCTTAACCCCAGTTGTGGTTAAGCATCAATGACTGCCCGCAGTGCCCGGCAACTGATACCCCTCTGAGGTGGTGGGGAGTCTGGGGACCACCAACCACTGCCCTCAAGGTACCTGTGATGAAAATCAAAGCAGACTATCGCTCACCCACACCAGATGGAAAACTCTACAGACTGTCGGTTCACACCCACGAAACAAAGAAACATCTGTCACAGCCAAACATTACTCCAGACAGTGCAGACACGCCTCTGGCACTAGAGGCACAGCATGGCTGCGTAGTGACGGCCCCGACCACTGCCGCTCGACCTGACAGGAGAAAACCCTAGCAGGGTGCTGCCCAAGTACTGGTATTTATCGTCAAACAGAGCTGCTGACGGTAAACCGGAGGCAGAGAGAGAGAGAAGAGGACAACAAACGAGATCCTATTTCTTTCTGTTTAACGATTTAATTTATAAGTTGGCAACGTAGAACTCAGTTCGGACCAGTACCAGGCTAGTACCAGCAGGTGTTGTGCATCTGGTGGACCGCAAGTGGGACAAGTGGGACGGCAGGTTTTGCTCATCTGGTGGACCGCTGTCCCACTTGTCTCACTTGCGTGGTGGATTCTTCATTCCTGATCGACCAGTGCGGAGATGAAGGGCCAGATTGCAGAATCTGACCGTGAATGCGGTCACATGTACGTCATCAAGGCAAGTACTGATATGGGTATGCCCTCTTCATTGACTAACTACTACATTTTTCACTCGAGTAGAACGTCTGGTCATCATACCTGTATTTGGAGCAAGTTTCAGTCTAGATACAGGGATAATGACCAGGGGCTCCGTCGACGTGAAGCCGGTAGAAGCATTCAAAATGTTGGCCGATGGCGAGTAATGCAACTAGTAGGCCCTAAGTAAATCCAGTGTGTAGGGCAAACAGCCCAAGAAAATGTCCCTTTCCTGAAGGGGTAGCTTTGCAGGGGAACACAGTTTCCGGGGGAGTCCCGACTAGCAAAGAGGGTTTAACTTAGATTTAATGCCTGAATCTTGACGTGTTCGTGGTCAGTGTTTCTGCATCTCTGCTCGAAACCCATCCAGATTCGGGGCGGTTAATCCAACCCTCTTTGCTAGTGGGACCTTGCTCTGGAAATTGATAACGCTGAGCAAAATGCGTTGAGCGGCACAGTAACTGCAGGGCCTTTTTTTTTTTTGGAAAAAAAAAGGGTGATGGCCGGCCTTGAGGTATCAAAAAAAAAGGGGTAACTTCGGCACCGTCACGAAAACAGTTTGTAATTGCACTTCAGGCAATCCCTCTAATACAACACACCCCCACACAAAATATACATTCAGCATTAACGGCCCTTTTGCCTCAAGTGCAATTACAAACTCCAACCCTGACTGCGTCGCAGTATCCTCAAAAAAAAAAAAAAAAAAAAAAAAAAAAAAAAAAAAAAAAAAAAAAAAAAAAAAAAAAAAAAAAAAAGAGGTGTCATCATTGGACTGACCAGTGCCAGGTACGCAGGAATGATTTTCTTCTGGTCATCTGATTGTGTCCGGATTCTAACTGGGACCTGCATTTCAACAGTTCATGGGTGTACCAACTGAGCTAGGCCCCACTGGCCAGTTTTTCTTTCTTTTGGGAAGTACGGAGTTTCATAAAATTGGGTCACAAGAGCTGCATAATTTGCGTTTGCATTTTCACGCAAATGGGCACATAAATGTCAGCGTCTTGGACAGCCGCGGGGTTACGTTACGTATTTTGTGATAACCTCTGGAGGTCCCCCCAATTGCGCATTTCTTTTAGACCTGTTTCTTTCTGGAAACCAAAAAAAAAAGAATTCAACGTTTGGTGGGCAGCTGTCGTAAGAAAAAAAAAGAAGAAAAAACCTGGAAAAATGGATGGATTTTTATTTTTTTATGCATCAAGCTGTGTGACCCCTCCGCCCGTATAAAATCGCATTCCTAGAGCAGGTCGGGACTGTGTTCTTTCTGTTTTGTGATGTATAGGGATAGGGGTGTGCTGTGTGACTGGGAAGTGCAGTATCATCGCAAATTGGCTCACATATAAGTTGAGATTGTACATGCTACGCAAATTGGCTCACATATGAGTTGAGATTGTACATGCTAGTGTGAGTATGCCCTAAGTCAGGGCTGAATTACGGTGTACCAATCTGTTCTTTTCTTTTTTCCAGAAATACGGTTTGCCTTTTCGTCATTCAAATAATTCTTAAGGAAAAAAAAAGAGAAAAAAAAAAATCACTTTCTTCTTCCATACTATGTTCTATACCATGTTCGATACTAATATGTTTTATACTATAATGTACTATGTTATGAACATAGCACTGTACTCAGTGTACTGTGAAGTTTGAACTATACCACTGCCACTGAAATATGTGCATCAGCTTTCTCCTTCCATACTATGTTCTATACCATGTTATACATTATGTTCTATACTATGTACTATGCTGATATGTACTACACTGTGCACGATACCACGGTCACTGAAATGCGTGCAGCAGCTTTCTCCTTCCATAACTATGTACCATACTACGTTCTATACTAGTATGTTCTATACGATGTTATATACTATGTACTGTACTATGAATGTGGTGGGTAGAAAGCTGCTGCACGCATAATGTAGTTCTCTGCAACTCTGTTGCTTCGCAATGAACCGCACGAACACGTATAGTATAGTACTCTGTTTCTTTGCAACGGAGCACACCACCATACTCGTCACAGAGAACATCGGACGCTAAGTCCCACATTTCCGTATCCTTCATTTTTGTCCGTAGATTGCAGAGATCGACGGTCAGATTTGAGTATTTTCGATCAGTGGCACTTGGCTCCCGGTTAACCTCGGTTAACCTCGGTGCAGAGATCGACGGTCAGATATGAGTAGTTTCGATCAGTTGGGCTTGGCTCGCGGTTCACCTCTGACCGTAGATTGCGGAGACCGGCGGTCAGATTTGGGACTGAGGATGGTGGTGTGCTCCGTTGCAAAGCAACAGATTGCGTTAGATAAGCACAGAATCTGATCTGATCCGAATCATCTGATCTTTTTTTTTTCAATCTTGATTTTGCAAGGCCGCATCGGTTCCAACGGAAAGGAGGCTGTGGTTTGATTGTGTGAATGTGGGACCTTCAGGTCCGAGGAGTCCGACATGAGTGACCACGAGGAGGAGGAGCTGGAGTGTCTCGGCGAGAGCAGGTCAACCCGTCTCGGAGGTAATTCAGTTCAGTTCAGTTCAGTTCAGTTCAATTCAATTCAATTCAATTCAATTCAAGGCTACCAGAGTGCCCGGGACTGCTTGCCTGGCCGGGCCCAAAAAATATATATATATGTCGGTGAAACTACGACCAAACAGTTTGTCACAGCCCCTCGTTTGTTGTCCTCTTCTCTCTCTCTGCCTATATATAGGGTTGCCGGGGTTAGGGATGGGCCGAAAGCCCGAACCCGAACGCCCGAACGTACGGGACCCCTTCAGAATGCGTTTGGCCGTTCGGGCCGAACCCGGACC